CCCTCCCCATGCCACTGCTGCTGCAACCTGCTGGCAGCGGAGTCACATTTCCTAGCGGCCAACTGCCTAAATTCCCTGTGTTCCACTACTCATACACAGCGATCCCAAGCCCGGCTGCCCTGCCGCAGCTGCAGCCGGGGAGCTGCAGCCATGCAGCCCGGGCAGGGGCCGCGCGCGCTTCCCGGTGGCAGCAGCTCTGCGGGACAGGCACAGCCCGTGTGCGGCTGGCCCTGCACTTCCTGAGGGCCACATGCCCTCTCCGCGCTTCAAACACACACCTCGTCCTGGAAAAGCCTGCAGAGAAACACAGCAGCCCTGTAAGGCAGAGATGGCTGCTAAGAGCTGATGACAGCCGGAGAGAAGATAACTTGCTGCACTTACCAGAATAAAGAAATCTTCAAGACAGTGCAAGCAAGATGAAGGTGGCCTAGGCACAAATGCTCTACTTGGCCTCTGATGCAAGAGCCTACGTTACACACCACAACGGATTTGTTTATTCTCTAAAACTTTTACACTACTGATCTTCTCAGCCGGACAGCACTTGGTAACCACACATTGAAACCAAGAATTAAGAATAAAATATTCCCACTCCCTTTTACAGGCCTAATATCATTTTGCTGACTTTGTGAGGCTATAACAATCAAAAAAAGCCATTTTGTCTTACATGCTGTAATATGTTCTTGTGTGCGTGTACGTAGGAAAGCAGAGAGACTTGATATAACCACAGAGACAAAATATTTTCAACGGCAAGATTAATCTTCTGAAAACAGAACTATTACTCACACTCTCTTCAGAAATACAACTTCATATTCCTCATCATTTTTATATCCTGCTTCCAAAAATCCTTCTCAAATCTCTCCCTCTAACCATATGGCTGTTTATTTGCTCCCCATAGAGGCAAAGCTTCAATTTTTTATTACCCAATCTCATCTTACTGTGGGCAGTACCCACTGTGTTTAACCTATACTCATTTTACAGCTTGGTAAAGTTCCTTATGAAACTTACCAATTTTTGCTACCAATTTTTGTGTCAGAAAATTTGATTACCAATGCCTCCAATCCATGAGGTCAACAAAGTAAAGCATTAAACTTCCTAGCAGGCCTTTTTACTCCAGTCCAATGTACTTGAAGGTACAACAGTTAGTCCTGTAGTGGAAAAAGCAATTCAAAACACATCAGCACAGCGGAAGCTTTTTAAGATGTTACACAACTGATCTGACTTTTTTAACGGGTGGACCCACCAGCTTCCACAGGGCAGCTTGACAGCCATTGACAAACTTAAGGCCAACTCGATTTTTTCCCCATAAAATTTAAACCAAATACCATGGTGCAGGGCGAAATATTCATAAAACCTCTTAGAGCAAAATACGGGAGGTAATATGACCACAGTCCCTCCAGTTCTTATATCTGGAACTACCTTACTGCTTAATGTACTACTTCACTGTTGCCTAAAAAAACATTCTGAAGAAATTTCAAACACCAGTTCAGTCACCTTCTGCTTCCTATATTGCCTGCTTATGTTAGAGAGCCGTCTCTGCACACTCAGAGCTGCTCTAGTTCTCCGGAGGCTTCTCCACTGGAAATACTACATGCTATAGTTCAAGCAAGTCAAGTTTTCCCTGCCGTTTTGGAGGGGAGAGGGAAGTACACAGGGCCTAGAGGCTTTGCAAAGCAACAGAATAAACAGCAGCAGGGACTGGGACAGTCTTGTCCTGGCCTTGAGCACTGACAGCTCCTACAGCTCTGCAGTGAGACAGGCAGTCTGACTTATCTCTGCTATTACTTACTTGAATTACCTTATTTCCCAGCCATCATTTTCCTACCAGGCTGCAGCCTGATGAGCAGAAAGGGCCCATCATGATCAGTGGGGAACAGATTCCTGTGCTTCTTCTGCAGTTGTGCACAAAACCATAAGGTTTTAGAGAAAAACGAGGATTTGATTTCCATGCATTTTCTACACGAACCCTTCGCTTTCCCTATACGGATACAGAACTACTATACAGTTGCATATCAGCTGGTGGTCCCGCACTGGTGCTGCTCAGGAGGAGAGCTGCGCACCATGGAGCACAGCCCCAATGGCGCTTGGGGTTCAGAGGCCTTGGAAAGGTCCCTTCTGCAGAACCAAGCTATCACTCATTTCCTCACCACGAGCAACAAGATGTAAAAACTTAGGCTAGGTAGAATATCACAGTTTGAACCCTGCTTCTACTATTCCCCTTTAGCATGTTTTCTTCTTTAAAACTTGCACATCTTTCCTGTGAAATCTCTCCATTTCTTGGTACAAGTTCAAATACAGAATTTAAGGCACTTTACAGAAAAGGACCGCGTTCTGTCATTGAAGTCGTGCATACAAATATCTCTCTCTTCCTTCAGTGATGAAAGTGTCGAACAAAGTACGTTTGATCATCAGCACAACTACATAAGAGGAGGTTGCTGTGTCTACTCTGTATTTCTATTTACCACGTCTGTTACTACTACTTTATTTAGCCAGTACAGAAATTACAATGCAAAATATGTGTCTGATGAGGGACAAGTAATTCTTGAAGTAAATAATTCTCAACTCCAGTATGGCACAGCATTACTATGAATAAGGGGTTTCTTTAAATGGTAATGATGTTATTTTGTCTTTAGAAAACCTGACAGTTTCCACATGGAAGACACCAAGGGATTGCCTGGTTTGTAGAGATCAGCAGATGGACAAATTAAAACATTACCCCAGCGAATACTACCACTTCCATGGAGCAGGTAGGGAAGGGCCATTTGTTAGAATAAATCACAGAAGCCCAGTGCTGGAAATGCTCTGTACTCACCAGCACAGGCTCTTCAAGCCCTTCTGACGAGAGGGCAGCAGGCACCAAGCTTCCCTGCAGCGCAGCACGCAATTTCCTGGGAACCCTGCTACCTACTCCATACTGACCAGGGCCAGCCCAAAATGTACAAGGATCACCTGGTTTCTTTACAGAAAATCCTGCAAAACCCTGACGAGGCCCCCCCAGAACAGAGATAAATGTTATCACACCCCAGCTGACGGTGCATGCGAATTAGAGGCATCAGGCTTTGCTCCCGATACGTTAGCCCTTTGCAGAGACACACAGTGGGGTCACTGGAGCGAGGGGCAGCAGGTTCAGTAATGGGCCTTGCCACCAGGCAGAACGGGTGACACAGCCTGTGCTGCAGCGCTGCCGGGCCCTTTGCGGATCCCTCGCTCCAACCACCTCCTGTCCTTCCGATTTGCAAGGCTAAAGCTACAAGGCAGCAGGAGAAAAGATGGAAAAGTAACTACAAAATGATGTTTTCAGACATCTTGAGCTTTTCCCCCTCTTGGGAATAAATATTAGAATAAAACTACCTTTGTAAGCCAAATGCTCTGCTATACAATATCTTCTCATCATGACCAATAAGCCACCAAAAGAACCCCTACCATCCATGCTGCATTTTTTCTTTTTTACTTCTAGAACATTCACTGGTCAAGCTTATATAAAAAGGAGAGCAAGTAAGCAGGGGTTTATTTACTAGGTTGCTGGATTTTTCTGAGTCTACAGATTATCTCTATACCAGTATCATGGCAACCTTCTCATGCATATAATTAATATCATTCCATGGCACTGGTGGATTTTGCATTTAAAATCATCCTCGTCACCCTCAAATAGGCTTTTTAAGGGGTTAGTGACAGCTCTAACAATTCTCTAACAAAGAAAAGAGAATAACCCAACTTCAACCCCAAACCATATTCACCTATGATGATCTTGTGTTACACAGTGAAAATGTAATGAGGAACTATGCAGCATATGTAGAAAATTGTGTATAAAACCTAAACTAAATGCATAAATACACACAACATCGTTACTCCAATTGCACTATAACCTCTTATCTCTCTGTTCATTTTAAGTTACTGCATCAAAAACAAAACCATCAGGCTTTAAATTCAGAGGGTTTCCACAGTGTTAAAACACGACATAAAAAATTTATTGTTCCCTGTCACAAATGCCACATCCTAAGAAGAGAGTGACAATACTATGAGTTAAACGCATGGAAGAGTATTTCTATCAGCTAACTGATTAAAAAAAAAGAAAAAGAAAAAATAAATGTGCACACAAACTGAAACATCAAAAATTCCATAGGAACTTAAGGAAAAATTTCTTAACAGTGAGGGTGACAGAGCACTGGAACAGGCTGCCCAGAGAGGTTGTGGAGTCTCCTTCTCTGGAGATCTTCAAACCCGCTTGGACGCAGTCCTGTGCCACGTGCTCTAGGTGACCCTGCGTATGCAGGGGGGTTGGACTAGATGATCTCTAGAGGTCCCTTCCAACCCTAAGCATTCTATGATTCTATGATTCTATGATTCTCTCTTACTCTGAGAGTCTGGCATAAAGTGAGGTTTACTTTTCATCACTTCTTTACAGCCAGCATAAGGAACTAAATTTGTTTGGGCAGAGACTTCTTTTCTCCAAGTTTCAGCCCAAAGGGAAAATATCGCTAAAGGAAATGCAGCAGATGTGGTGAAAATACCAAGTCTACCTTTTGGTTCAATGCCACTAAAGAAACCACTGTGAAATTTATTTCAAATGGAGAAAGAAAGCTTTTTTTTTAAAAAAAAAAAAAAAAGAAAGAAAAAGTAGTAATCTTGAAAATTAATTTTTAAAGAGAACAGTACTCAGCTTTGAAAGACCCTGTTTTGCAGAGGATGGGTAGAGGCCTTGCTGAACTTACTTGCATGACCCCTGCCAATCAATGTCAACACTTGATTAATATTTTACTGAGAAAGCACGAGATTATTCCAACTCCAGCTGCCTGCTGAAGGTGTTGCTAAGCAACTTTGCTGCTTGTCTGAAAATCAGTTTTCACAGCAACCTTGCCTTCAAACCAGAGCTTTGAGTCCACTCTGAACACTTGGTCCTGAGAGTACCAGCAAGTTATATCTCAGAAATAAATAAATGAAGTGCATCTACCCGCCCGCCCCGCTTTGTGGTCGGTGGCGCCCAGACTGCCCGCCTCGCTCACCGTAATCGCTGTCGTAGAAGACGATGAACTTCTGCCAGCGCAGCTCGGTGACCAGCTTGAGCATGACGTCGTTGAGGCGCACGGGCGGCCGGGCGGCCAGCGTGTACTCCTCCTCCTCCAGGCTGGGGTTGAGGTGGCAGGCGGTGCGCGGCGAGCTGCCCGTGCTGCGCTGCACAAACAGGTGCGGGATGTGCATGGCGTCCGTCAGCGACTGCAGCGCGTTGGCCGAGGCGCAGCCCGTGGACGTCACCAGCGCCAGGATGCCCAGCGTCATCAGGTCGCAGGCTGCAAAGGGCGAGACACAAAGCGGGTGCGCGTCAGGCCCAATGGCTCCTTCCACCGACCCGGGTGCACCAAGACATGCGCTGCCCTTGACAAAAGCAAAGTTGAAGGTATTTCCCACGCAGTACCAGCTTTTGTACCTTCACAGTAAGGGAGAGTGTCTGCAACCTGCACAACTACCACAAAGTTGAGGGAAGAGCCTTCTGAGGACGGGGCAGCCATAAGGCAGCTGCTGCATGTGCAGACTCCGCTGCCCAACGCGGACACCCCAAGTCTGCCCAGCTGCCTTCACCTCCAGGTCCCTGAGTTCCCTGGACATTGAGGAGTGACTGCTGTTTCAAGGAGTGGTTTTATATAAAGTTCTAAAGTATTAACTTGATGAAAAAACTTATGTCATGGGCCTCCTGAAGCCTCAGAGCCTTCAGCAGTGCCACTATAAAGCGCACAGGAGCTCTGTGCTCTTCCTATTAAGATGTGAGCTGCACTCCTTAGGAGGCTCTGGAAAAGCACGCACTCTTCAAACACAGAGCCTGTACATTTGCGACCACCCACTCCCAAGAACACAGCGTTACCTGAGCTCTAAAACAGGCTGTGTGTATTTGCTCATGTTCATGCTGGAAACACATGAGGCTCCTGGGAGCGGGGCCGAGGCGCGCGCTGGCTGCTGGCGCGCGGGCCCCGCGCGACCACCACCACCCAATTCACCTGCGATCCTGCACCGCCAACTGCTAGCAAATCAAACGGGCCCTATTAAAAGAATTTATTTGTCCGCAATGCCTTCCTGCTATCTGAGCTTTCAGAGGACAAAGAGCTGGGCAGCTTAACAATAATTAACAGTAATAAACAGTTTGTTAGCAGTTAGTAGTAATTAAATATAGAAAGTCACAGCAATTAAATAGAGAACCGTTCTTAATGCAACCGCTGAACCATTCCACAAACATCTTTGAGTACAGACAGAAAACAAATGTATTTCACTTTGATAGAGGATAGCAGAAAACATTTGATCACCCTATGCACACAACACTTGACATGTATCCTAATGCAAAAGCAAAAGGTGAAGTGCTTTTAAAATTATTTCCTTGATGGCCCTTACAATAAACATGTCAGCTGCATTATCTAAATTTGCTTTGTGTTAATTATAGATATATGAAATTGTTCCCTGCTTTTCCTGAAAGCTGACCCGATTAAACAGCAGGGAGGCATTACACTTGCCAAATGGGAGACCCAGGTTCGGGAACAGATTTCATTTCCCAGGCTTCTTGCCAGACAAAGCTGAACATGTCCTACAGGTAATTTATTAGCCCCGTAGGGGAGGAAACAGCAAAGTGGGGACAGAGAGCAGGAGAGCAGGCCTGAGCTCTGAGGCCCCACAGAGATCAGCAGCCACTGAACTTGCTGTCACCAGGCCCAGCGCCACAAGCACCACTCTGCAGAGGAACAACTTACACACACACGCAGACAGAGGAGACTCAAAACCCTTCCTGAGTGATGACAGTAATTTGTGTAACACAAAACTGATCATCTATTGTATTAAAAAAATAACAACTTTCACTCAGCAATCAAAGCTAATCAAAAGCTGCTTGGGTATTTAGCAGCAACACGCGATACAGCGGCCTGCAGGACCCGGGCCCCTTATCTGCCAGCACAGCCTGCAGACTGCAGCTAAACATCTCCATAACAAAGATGTCTTGGTCGAGGGATTTTCACAGTGTTCTGCAGTTTGTGTCAGTGGGCCAAAATGAAAAATTAGTCAACCAGCTTCTACATCCTCATATTTCATCCACTGATTATGCTCTGCATGGAAGCATACGCTACCCAATAAGTGTTACCCACTCTTGCCTTTATGCTTTGAGATAGTACAGCAGGCAATAAAGAACGGGAATGACTGCAGGCAAAATATGGTTTCATATTTTCTAAATTGCTTTCTTTAGTCAAATTACAGAATTTGAACCAGACTATGTTATGTACTTTTAATAGAAGAATTTAACTATCCAAAAACATGAGAGACTCCTAGAAGTTCAGCTTCTCCATGCCTACCACATTGAAGGATGAATACACTTGCAATATATCAAGAAGAAATGTATTACTTCCTACACGGGTAACACAGCAGGGAAGAGCTACAGAAGGATAACTGACTCCAATTCATTAAAAAAAGCCCTCATTAGCTCTTAAGATAGCCTGAAATTACTTAGCATGAGAATGTTCAAGGATTACATAATACCAGGAAACTCTGGTGACATTTTTAAGGATTTACTCCCACTTCCCCGTACTTTCTTGCATGTAAAACTTTGTGACTTGAGAAAACCTGTGTTATCTTCTGTTCTACCTCACCAGGTTAAGGATCAAAGTTTCAGCAGTGACCATGCATTCCTGACCATATGATCAAGTAAATCACCTCAGTTGTATTTACATAAACACTTAAAAGATCTGCACTTTTCGTACATGAATTTCATAATGCACTGTATTCCAGTTTTAGGAAAACCAAGATATAGATTTTAAGTGCCTAAGCATCTTGTTCTTCAGTTATCTTTATTACTAGAAATGTATCACACTTGCGTAGAGTTTCATCTAGCTGTTTTTCTTCCTGTCTTGTAGATAATATTTTGCAATATGAAGAAATAATGTTGTTAAAGTCCTTTGAGTTCCACAGAGAAAATACACAATGTTCTAGTCATCTTGCTTCCAAATTTCACTGCCATATACCTAGCAATACTTATTAGTTCACTGTATTGAATTGCCTTCATCACTGTCAGGCTGCATTTTAAGAGGATACCAACATCCCACAAATCATACTGTGAGAAATGTACGTTTTGACATGATGATCAAAACATGAACATCACCATATTTAAATGACTCTGCATACAAATTATTTGAGATTAAATAATTTCACTGGTAATTTCTGATTAATCTTTGCTTTTAACAGCAGATTATTTCTCTATCTTAAACTTGATTTCATTGAAATTTCCTGAATTATTATATCGCAATTATACTACACCCTAATTATATTATCCTAAACTAAACTTCTCCCTTCCTGTCCCTCCAACATTTCTATCTCCAGTCGGATCCCATTAAGTCCACACAAAAGCTTGGAAGCACAACTATCATTTTTCAAACAGCACCTTTTCCCTATTGCCTTTTTTTAATCTGTGAGGCTGCACATGTGAAATAATTATGTTTTGCCACAGCAGTGTTTGAGATCCTGCTCTTCTCCTGTGGCTTCCTCTATTGTCATCCTATTTCTGAAGACAGGTGACAACAGTGAACTCTTGATTTGGTACCATCTTCACAAGGATATTTGCATTAAAAGCTTTAGTTCAGATCTCTGTAATTAAACTCATATCTCTCTAAACCACAGGGAAACAAAATACTTCAAGAGAAACTGTTATCCTGTCCTGGCAACATGATGATATGACCATCTTTCAATCTCCCTTTCAGAGGTTTCCTATTATTCAGGAAGGACAGAAACTTTTCCCTTTGTTTCCACCGTTATCAATAGACCAGCTGCCACTGTAATTTCTGATCTAACAATATATCCACCTACTGGAATCCACACGGCCTCCTCCAGCTCCAGTGCCCTTCTGTCTCTCACATCTGTGCATCACTGCAGCTGGTCCTACCCACTCCGGACCACATCTGAGCAGATTTGATAAATCCCCTATGAGGGTTTGCTTGTTTAACTTGATTTTTTTGTTTTCTTTTTCTGTTTGACTAATCCTTAGAAACTCTTCGCAGCATAGGAAATTGGGGAGTATTCTAGGCAAACAACTTGATTTTTACATTTGTTTGCGAATTGAGAGGTGCCTGTCTTTTTGCTTAGAAAGGCTTTCAAATAGAAGAGCAGAACTTCAGACCTGCCAAAAGAAAGGAAATCCAGTCACACTGATATTTCCAGTGTAGGACTCTGCAAGGAAATGATTAACAGTGTTGGCACTTCAGTGTCCATAATTAGGTTTCAAAGCTAGTGGCCTACTGAGATGAGATGAGGGACTTTATACTTGCCTTAGGACTACTGTCCTAACCAATCTGGCTGAAAGCTCATTTTTCATGTGGTTTATCTTCATAAACCAAACGCAGAAAAAAAAGTCATTTCATTCTTAAGTAAATAATCAAATTTAAGAGAATGCAGCAAATCTTAAGAAAAATCCATGTTGAAAAACTAAATCCTAACATTTGATGGGATTACCCAGGCCTGCAGTTTATTCTGCCCCAGCCGCACGGTTAACAAACGCAGCAGTAGCCAAACAAGGAGAGGTGCCGGCTGGGTTACAGGCACATGAAGGGCCATGAAAAGAACTTTGAGGCAGTAACCGCCTTGATTAAAAGAAAAATGAAAGAAAGAAAACGGGACATAAAACACGTCGCCTGTAATTTTTTGCTTTCCATTTTTCCTTTCTTCCCTTTATTTTCATCTATCTTGTCAAAAATCTGGAAATCATGTGCATACTCATCTATAAAATAGAAGCACCCTAGTAAGTGCTTTAATAAGTAACATAAGTGATTTTGAAGATTAGCTGTATTGCTCAAGACGAAGTTTTCTTCTGCTCTTCAATATCTAATGTATCAAAGTCTAAATACAGGGTAAAGGCCCAAGTTTTCAGCTCTGATCTCAAGCCTCTCAATGTCTAACGCAAAAGAGGTTAAGTTACATTGTGCCATCCTGCCAGACTGGCAAGAGTAATCCCTGCTTCCCTATTAAAAACATCTTTAACATGTAAGCACAAAAAATTATTATAAACACTGTGCTAAGTACAAATAAATGCAAAGGGAACTAACTAGTTATTGTATTATTCATGTGTACAAACAATAATCAGACAAACATTAATTAGCTAATTTGTATACAGATAAACAGTAAGGTATTTGGGGAAAACGGTAGAATAGTTAAGAACTAAGAGACAAAAAGCTCAGAAAGCCAGTAAACTGTATCTTTAATCAAAATGTAAAATCTTACGGGAAACAACCATAAAGGTATCCTTAACTTGAATGGAAAAAGTCTTTCTGA